TATATATATATATATATATATGTGTGTGTGTGTGTGTGTGTGTGTGTTTAAGTGTGATTATTGCTGTACACCGTTTTGATTGAAGATTTAGGGTTTTGAGATTTATTTTTTTTTCATGTGTATCTTTTATTTTGAAAGTTGAAAACAAAAGTCTATAAACCACAACCCCCAAACATAAAAAGCCTCAAAAACTTGTACAAGCAGTCACTGGACAGTCTTATTTTCAACTGCATCAAACGAATAAAACAAAACAGGTTCAAAACAAGTTAAGCTCTAATAATAATTACAGTCTGATTAGGTGATAATAGTATGTTCAATATAATACATAGGACTTTTTTTTAAGTTGCATTAAACCCAGAATATTCCTCCTACATAAGCCATCTGAGAGAGACATACATTTAGCTTTAGCCCAAAAGAAGGAGGCCAGCTCTTTAAAATTGTCCCAGATCTTAAAAAGAGGGATGGACTTATAACAACTGCACTTTGCATACATAACTGACCTTAGACGTGTTGAGAAATGTAAACGTATTTGTGTCGTATCTAAATATGGCAAGTTAAAGTCTTACCTCTCTAAAACATACATAATTTTGACAGAACCAGAAGGGAATATATGTTAGGACATATGCTTTTATTTTGAAAGGCAAATTCATTTTCTGATGAAAATAAAAGCTCCATGGTATGCCAGTTGATTTAAGTCCTGCCCCTTTTGAAGATCTCTTCTCTGCCACTATGCTTGGCTTATTCGGACTAAAAGCATCCTGGCCACAGGGGGGCAGATGTTTACTAGACAGAAAAGGATCTCTGAGACATGATAATGGAGCAGAGTATTTCAGTTTCACAAGAATGACCTCCACAGGTGATCTTTCTTCACTAACCTTTTAGCACTTAGTGGCTCCTCAGCCTCAACCGTGTTCTCCTCGGGCTGGAAGCGAAAATCCTCTATATAAACCCCAAACCGATCATAGAGCCAGCTCTGCAGCCGCGAACACACTGTCTCCTTCTGCTGTTTGTCTACAAAGAGAGGTTAGATATGTATTTCATTCAGAGGCCAAAACCAAATCTCTATTCATCTCTAAATCCTACAGTGGGCGTACTACTGAGAGAGAGAGAGAGAGAGAGAGAGAGAGAGAGAGGTTTGTGCTCTACATTCTCATTTCCTGCCTTAAACAAAAGGGGTTGGTCTGGCCTAGATGGTCTACAAATTTAGACAAGTGCCTAAAATAACAGCGGAAAGCTTCCTGAACCGTCACTAACCTAAACCACAAACCAGCTGGAAAATCCAAAACCCCAATACAGGATTAGAGCCACAATTAAAACTTGAATCCAAATGACTGACAGACAAATAGAAAGATTTGGTTGAGTCCATATGAATTTACGGTCACACTTTATTTTAAGGTCCAATTCTCGCTTTTAACAGACTACGACGTTTACCTCAAACTCCTAATTTGCTGCTTATTAATAGTTAGTAAGGTAGTTGTTAAGTTTAAGTATTGGGTAGGATTAAGGACGCAGAATATGTTAATAATAAGCATGCTAATAAGCAACTTGTTAATAGAGATCCCTATACTAAAGTGTTACCGAATTTATGTCACCCTGATATTTAACAGTCTCACTAGGATTGTTTTTTAAGGTAATTGGGATGCAATATTTACCAAATTATGTATGACATATTTCTGTGTCTTATCAAATTCTGACACAAGATTTTTGGTATTAAAATAAGAATAAAATAAGAACTGGCGAGAATGCTATTCTCAAACTGTATTTGGACTGAAATTATTTAAATCAGTCTCTCCAGCTTTTCACGGTTCTATAAATATATGTGAAATGATTTAAATAAAAAGCTAACAATGTCTTTTTTGTAATGAACATAAAAATTGACAGCACACACACATTGGGAAAAACAATTTTTGCTGATACTTTTCAGAATAAAGTAATAATAATAAGTCCATAGTAGTTTAAATACATACAATTCTGCCTTAAATTTTACTCTTGAGAACTGATCAAACAATTGTAAGGTGTAGAAATATAGTCATGTAAAAATGAATCATTTTGTTACTTCTAATGTCAAAACTTTGAGGGTTGCATTACCTGTGCCGTTAGCTGCAGGTGGCTGCTGTTTCCGTGGAGGCTGAGGTGGAGAATCTTCACACCTTCACCAGGAAACACAAACTACATTAACTTTCAATTCAATTCAAACTTTTTTCTCAGAACTCAGAACTTTTCTGAGCCATTTTTGCAATTTTTTAACCAACAGGTGTCAAACAACTTAGTGGATGTATGATGTCAGTTCCACTCATGTTCACCTAGGTGTCCTTGAACTAACTACGGGTGTAGTTCAACTATGGACATTCAATATTTTCGTCTGCAATATGTCTGTCATTCAGTGGCCAGTGTTATTAGCAAAGCTAAAACTATTAAAAAAAAACTTAAAAATGTTGTGTGTTCAGGCATTTTTCCCAAAAAATCTGAGAACTTTAGTTTAAGCTAAAACAATATAAAAGGTAAAATCATCACATTGATGTTCTACACATATTTGCAGGTTAATTATCAGAAACTTCTCAACGGAGCACAGCATACTCCTGTGCAAGCCCAAAATGTGCTGCCAATCAAATCCGAATCAATTAGATGCTGAAATGACATCAGTGGAAAGAACACTCTGTACAGACATATTGCTGTGCACGACTCTCTACGTATAGACATCGACTTGCTGCTGAAGGGTCATGGGGGGTGGGATGTAGTGGCTATTTTTATAGCTCAGCGTGTGGCGTGGGCAGCCCTCTGCGGTCAGTCCGACTGTGACAGCCAGACCGAGTACAGCACCGGGTCACTGAACAATGCCAACACTCATCAATTTATCACAGACTATAGAAAGAAAGTATAAAACTGTGTTTTAAACAACATAATACTAAAGTAAAAGTTACATTACAAACTTAATTCAACTGGTTTTTACTCAAAAAGCTTTATGCATTTCAGGTCTATTTAATGCTTAGCTGTAGACTTGATTTTGTGCATTTTTAATTACAGGTCATGCGAACAACCACACACAAAAAAATTTGAGGTTGTAAATAAAACAACAATTATTGGAGTTTTACTTGAAAATACTATTTCAAGTCTTTCTAATTCAAAATTTCATGTTTAATTCAATGTGTTACTTTGAAACAATTTTCACTCAGAAATTGCTAGTAAATTTCACAAAGTTAGTCTTTTTAAACATTACACTCTTTCGCATTTTTTTTTTTTTTGGCAGTGCAGTTGATAATTACAGTAATGTGTGGTCTCACAAGCCTTAAGAACAAATGAATGCACCGATATTAAAATTCTGGCCAATAGCGATGAGCCAATAATTATATAAATAATCACTATTAAAATATATATTATTTTATCTATATACTGTAAATTAATTTATCGGTAACGATAAATTACAAAACAATTCTAATGTCAAATGATAACTGATATGGTATCAATGTATTGTGCTTCTCTAATACAAATAAGCTGATACTTCAATAATAATGAGTTTGATACAAATTGTTAGTCTTTTCAATTTAAAGCTGCAGTCCATAAGTTTTGTCTCTTTGTCGCCATCTCTGTTTGAAACCTGCAATGGCAGTTATTTGTGGAATTATATTCTTTGCGTGGGTTGTGCACCGGCACGACTCCAGCGCGGATGAATCTAATGTTTTGAGGTGAATGTGTGGCTGTCAGTCACCGCACCGGTGTGGATATTCACTGTACTTCGGAATCACATCACTGAAAAAAAATAAATTGTGGTGTTGTAAAATATATTAAATTAATCATCATAAATTCTACTTGTAATATTAAAAATCAAGGAGAACAACAATTTTAAGTAAAATGTACACATTTAATTCATGTAATTAATGAACTGCATGAGAAGAGTAACTCTTATTAATATTTACTTGTAATATTTACATGTTTTATAGTCATTGCACATAAATCTAGAAATATTGAGTACATTTTAATCTAAAAGTTCGGCGCGCTTGAATCCGTGCATGCGTGTTTGGACCCACGCTTTGAATCGCTTTGACGGCTGGGCTTGTCACGGAGGAGATGCATGGCTGGATCTTCTCGTGTTTAAGGTAAGTTTGCCTTTCTGTTTTAGATTTCTGATTTGTAATACTTTGGTCGATGTGGATTTCGATAGTTTGATTCTTGTTTGCTTGACTCATACTGTACATTGACGTTCATATTAATCACATAACCTCATTAAAGTTAACTTGCGTGCGTTCACAGTGAGTGATATTTCAGCGAAAATGTTTTCAATAGTTCAGAGATTCACAAAGCTGTTTTTCACGTAAAAACTTGAGCACAATTGGAAATGACTGGAAATGATTTAACGTTGTAACTGCTAGCTAGCTAACATCGTTACTAAATTAAAACAATCGCATAGTTTAGCATAATGCTAGTTCTGGATTAATTGCAAAATGTAACCATAATAGAGTATAAGTTTATAATTCAAAAACCGTAATGTGATCCGAACCGTGAGATTTGTGATCCGTTGAACCACTAGTAGCAAGTCTGACACTTTTGTTCTGACCAACTGAGGAAAAAAGCAGTACAATAAATCGTGCTACAATGTTGATTAAATCTAACGATTGGTTAGCTCATATCACATCAAACCGTGCAAATTATTATTACTATTATTCTTTGTTCTCAAATTGTATTTTGGATTACAATATTTAATTATTCCAGCTGCTGAAAAGGCTATAAACGATCCGCCACCTGCAGGATCCCTCCCATGTGATATAGTCTACTAGCCGGGACAACTTCTTTATGTTTACAGACGTGACGTAATGACGCGGCGGCATGCTTGAATTTCCCGCAAATTCCTACCAGTACCACTCAAATTAGAAAACATTATTATAAGCTTACCGTTGTGAGTCGGGCTAAAGTAAGGCGATACTTTTAAACACTGGCTGGTTATGTACTTAATCAAAAATTGATTTTGTATCATTTTTAAGCAAAAAAAGTTACGGACTGCAGCGTTAATACAAAAAATAAAATAATAATTTGTTAATAAATCAGGCTACAATAAATGTGTGTACAATAAAATTTTAAAATGTGGACATTTAAGAACCATTAACAAAACTGAGCTCAAAAGAACTAATTCCAAATAAGAAGCAGTTCTCTATTCCTAATCCCCAGTACTTAGTGTGTGTATAGAGTGTTGAATGTTTGTGACCTAAAGCTCCTGTGCTCCTCATTCATTGTTTGACACTTTATGTAAACTCTGTAAAGCTTATGTGTGTTGGTGTCTATATTTGAGTTGGTTTTTCACCTGGTCTTCAGCACATCACTCATCTTCTGTTCCAGGTCAAGTCTTCTGCTGCGTTCTCTCTCCAGCTCCTGCTTTAGGGTCTCCACATTGGTTTCTTCTCGTAGCTTCCGTAGTTCCTCCTCTGAAAGAAAAAAATGTCACAAATGGCCACACACTTTAAGGAACCTTCTATAATGAAGACATTAAAACATATTATAATCTTGTCCAGGATGTATAAGTGTTAACAAGAAGTTTCATAAACATTTATTAACTTAGTTTTTTTTTTTTTGTATTTAATTTTGTTTGCGTCATTGAAACTTTTTTCCTGTAAAGCAGTGTTTTTTAAACACTGTAAAGCTGCTTTGACACAATCTGTATTGTGTAAAGTGCGATATAAATAAAGGAAGAAAAAAAAACATAATACCATGGTATACTTTTATGTATCTAGATGTACCATGTAAATAATTTAGTGATTTGCATTTAATTTAATTCAATTTTATTCTTAGCGATTTTTATTTATTTGGCACATGAATATGGTAATCACTTAATATCACATTATATATCACCACCTAATACCTAATGAGTCATAATGGTATAGTAAAGTTAAAATAATAATTTTTATAGAAAAATGCAACAGTAAAAACCAATTCACTGGTTAACTGTACGATCCCTTACAATATATGGCTAAAATTAAATCTGAAAATAAAAGTAATTTTATATTATTATAAAATTGTTTCATAAGTAAAAATAATAATAATAACCTTACTATTTACATAGACAATTTATATTTATGTGTAACTAGCAAGTGCCACAATTCACTCGGGGAGCAAGGAACGAGGAAACGAGGAGTACTTGAATAACAGTCTTTAATAATCCACAGGAAAACCGAAAACAAGGAGGACATTCAACAAGTAGACCCAACAAACAAGAACTGAAAGGACTAGGGCTTTTAAAGGCAGGATAATTGGGGAGGAACGAGACACACCTGGAATCAAATTAACACAATCAACATGAGGAAGAAACTGGGTCACAGGGGCAAAAACACACACAGGATAGTCCATAATCCTGACAGCAAGCCAGCGCATATAAAACATATTAACCAATGTCCAATTGCCTACAATGTGCTACTTTACTGTCTCTTGTATCACTTCACACTCTCTTTTGTTCATGTGATGAAACGGCTTAAATTAATATTTAATGTCCATTCATTTACTTTTGATATTAAGTAAGTAGCTTTGTTATAAACAGGATTATTTGAACTCATTCAGCTATTATCACAAAATAAACCCTTCTGGGTGATACAAGATGCTTCACTTCAATTCAATTTGACATTGCATTTCTCAATATCTTTCCACTCATCTATTTGCAAAATTTCAGTAGTCTAATGCACCGCTGTGAGCCTGCAGCTATGTACTCTACATGGTCTTTGTTCCCAGCTGAGCGTTATAAATATTTGAGTGCTAATATGAGCTTCTCTCATACAGAGCGCCATAAAGGAGAGAATAAGGTCTGAATGACTATCAGCACTCTGTAAAACTCTAGTACCTGAACCCTGAGTTCAGAGTGATGGCCATTAGTGGAAGTGCTTCTGTCTGACAGATGGTTTCAGATGAGATGACTGCTGTCAATTGTACAGAAGTACATCATTAAGCAGTCAGTCAATTAATCTATAGCAATGTTTCTATTAACAGCTTTTAGATTTGCACAAGCCTGAGCCGCCTAAATATAGATTCTAACTAAAGTAAAAAGGCCTGGGATCCTGACTTCACCCAGCCCTTGTTAGTGGTGTTAGATAAGGTAAGCATCACTATTACTACTGAGTTACAGCAAACTTAGTGTTGAACTTTGCAAAGTAATGTTTGTTCTGCATATGTAAATGATATCTTAAATCATGGAACTTATTAAGGAGATGTGTACTATTACTTTTCTAAACAATCTGACCAGTAGTTTTCATCTTGTTGATGATAAAATGGTTAAAAATCACTAAATAGTTTAGTTTTGATGTGAACGCTTAGTGTATGCATACATTGAAATGCGTAGACTTTCAAAATATACTCCATTTAATAGCAAGAACCAACACAGGCGACTATGCACACTAGAAAGTGTGTCTGCGCTATTTCTTTCTTTCTTTCTTTCTTTCTTTCTTTCTTTCTAGTCATTATACTCAATTAATATAGAGTTCTTGTGATCAAAAGTAGTTTGTTGTTGTTCCATTTCCTTTGTTTCCTTGTTGGCTGTGAAACAATGGCCTGCAAGTGTTGCCACCTTGTGGACAAACTAATTAGCGCAAAAAATTAAGACACATGTACGAGATGAGCAAACATAGTACGCACGGTTAGAAAAATCTGTCTGGGTGTGTACAAATTAAGCGCATACAAATTTATGTTGCACCCTAGCGTACACATTAAATTTGACACATGGAACTACTCAGAACAAAGCAGCAACTGCATAACAAGATGCTAACAATTATTCAATCACCTTACTGCATGGCAAGAAACGGACCATAACACCTTAGCAACTGCATATCAAGATGCTAACAACTACTCAGAACCATAGATATATATACGTAGATGCCTCATTAGCAACTGTTTCTATGGGCAGCTATACGTAAGCCGTCCGCCATATTGTAACGGTCAACTTGATGTCATTCACCATAGTAATCACTGAATATTTGAAAGATGCCACAATCCTGCACAGAACGGCTCAACGGCTCTGTGAGAACCTGCAGTATGATGAATGACGTCAAGTTGACTGTTCCAAGATGGCGGCCGCATCTACATGCCTGGAGCCGTCAAATGGGGCATCTATACATATCTATGCTCAGAACATCTTACTACATAGCAAGATGATAGTAACCACTCAGAACACCTTAGCAACTGCATAGCAACATGCTAACAACTACTCTGAACACCTTACAGCATGGCAAGAAGCTTTCAATTGCCCAGAACACCTTAGCAACTGCAAAGGAAGTTGCTAACAAATACTCAGAGCACCTTACTGCATTGCAAGATGCTAACAACTGCCAAGAACACATTAGCAACTGCAAAGCAAGATTCTAACAACCACTTAGATCACCTATCACACGGCAAGATGCTAACAACTGCCCGTAACACATTCTCAACTAAATAGCAAGATGCTAACAACTACTCAGATCAGCTTAGCAAGATGTTAACAACTAACCTTAGCACCTGCTTTGCAAGGTGCTAACAACTGCCAAGAACACCTTAGAAACTGCATAGCAAGATGCTAACCACTGCCCAGAACAACTAACTGCATAGCAAGATGATAATAACTACTCAGAACACCTTAGCAACTGCATAGCAAGATACTAACAGCTACTCAGAATCCCTATGCAGCTGCTTTGCAACATGCTAACCACTTAGAACATCTTAGAAACTGCATAGAATGTGCCAAAAACCACTGACAAAATCTTAGCAACGTTAGCATCACAACACTCTGAAAACCTCCCACAACACCATAGCATTGTTGCAGTCAGAAAATTCAGTCATAAGAATTAAAATCTTGCCGAGTTCTCTTGCCAGAGGATTATTCAGAGCAATTTTAATATTGCTGATGGCCAAATTACACAATGTGTCTAATCATCTGCAACCAACATATTTGGATCTGTCTCCATGGCCACACTGAGAACAGACTGATTATGATACAACAGCGTTCAGTAAATCTGCTCCAGAATCAACATTCTGTCAGCAATTCTCATTGATCTTCACACCACAAAAAGAATCAGTCTGTTCAGACAGAAAGATCATATATTTCGGCCCTTTGTTTTCTTACTCGAAGGCTGAATCATTCGTTTGTCTGTCATCAGTCTGTTATGAACTCCAGTAGGCTATATGACTGGGGTGCTGAAATTATGTGTTGGAAAGACATGTTAGTCATATCACAACATCACCGGAAATGTCCTTGGTAACTGAACATTGGGAAAACAATCTGTACAATATAGAAATTTACACCCAGTAGCTTCAACTGAAGTGCAAGTGTATGACTAGTACTATAGCTATAGCCAGACTATGGTCAATAGCTGTCATTTTTTATTGCTGTAGTAATTTATTTAAAGGTGCACTATGCATAATTTTCCAAAAAATCTTCTGTCTCTTGCTTGGCTTTTTGGCTGATATCTGTAACTTGACAATTTACTAGGCATTGTAATTACGTTTTATAATGACACACAAAATTTAATTATTTAGCTCTCAAATATTTACCCCAATGTTGGTTATTTAATGAGATCATTTTTTAAAAATCCCTCATCGTTTTCTCACCCTCATGAACATGGATAGCCAACATAGATTTTAAGAAAAACAGTCCATCAATGAACCTGCTTATAAACAATGAACTTGTCAAATGTACCAGCCTATTGTGCGTAACAGGATGTTTAGTGCAACATATAACAGGGATAATAGCTGGGTCACAGAATATCCTTGTCTAACATGGACCAAAATGTTGGCACATAGTCACCACCCAGTGTTTAAAAAAAAAACTAGTGAGTTGCCACGCTGTATACAGTTTACATAAGCACTCACCAGCTACTTTAGCCAGCATCCTAAAACAACTGGAAGATGTGTTTAAAATCAAAATTAACAATTGAAATGCTCTTCAACAGCCTTGAACTTTGACTGTATTAACAATATAGAAATGCCTCTAGTTACTTATTGTTTAATTACAGCACCGAGTATAAATAAGCAACAGTTTCTTGTAATGGAAATGATAAGCAATATGAATCCAGTCATGGTAAGAATTCTGGGAAGGTAATGAAATATATAAGCCACTCTGTCTCTGTCTCTTTTTTGCTCTCCCTCTCCCATCACTCCTTTTCTCTATTCGTAATAATAGCCCTTTGCAATGTGCCTCACGATCTCTCTCCATGTCAGTAGATTCACATCACCTCCGCAGACAGACAGGAGTCGGCTTCAAGCACCAATAACAGAAGTGGAGCGATCTACTGAAGTGCTGATAGTTCTCAATCCTGCACAACAGAGCCATTTCAGAATGACCACACAAACACTAGACAGATAAACAGAGATATGAGTCATTCTGTCTGATGTATTTTATGACTACACACTGCATTTTAGTCACAGACTCTGGAGATTAAACTAAACATTTAGTATGTTTTTATACATTATGAAT